CCTGTGCCTCCGCATCCTTCTTCTCCCATGCGGGAATTTCAGCTACCACCGTTGGTTTTGGCGTTGAACCGTCCAAATATTTCTTCAGCCGACTTTCAGCCATGAAAATCTCCATCTGGCGTTTCCATAATTGGTAATTTTGCCCATTGAAACGATGCAGCTGATATAATTTTGTGTCAGCCATAATGTTTTTTGTTTCACAATCAATTATAGACTCAGATGAATAATCCGAGGACTCAGAATCACTCATGCCAATCACAAAAGGTGCAAAAAAAACTTTCCTTCAAAAAAGAGCAGGCACTTCACCTTCAAATTTCAGTTCTACAAAACAGTGTCCACGTGCTCCGTTTTCATCCGTGTGAACTGGGCCCATAACCTGTTATAAATTCCTTAGGAATAAGTTCTCACAGGATGCAGATGAACGTAGTTTGTTGATCACGAGTGTAGAACAAGTTTATTTGTAGTGCAAAAATTAAGAACAGTCAAGTACAGACGATATATAAACGGGCATTGAAGATCTCCTCGCAATTACGCAAATGGCGTTACAGTATATCAATAACGAAACGAGGGAAGAAGATCCAATAGAAGATATGTTCGCTATGTTTAGACCCATGTTAAGGGCATTAAATATAAGTCAGTTACATAAAGTGCGGAACAACATGTTCCGGAGTGTCTACAACGAGTATGCGAAGACATTCCGTGAAGAAGAGACGGAGGAAAATAAAGAAAATTGAGGAAATACAGATTTGTTTGTTTAACATATATTTATATGTGCATACCTCAAGCTAATTCCTCCTGCCATGGTACACTGTCAGCTTCCGAAAGGAAGTACTCTTTGAATGTGTCCCTCATAAGAAGCGCCTCCTTACCCCCTTGTCTTCCTTGATTTGGCAGATTTTCCAGGCCAGTCTGCTCGATTTTCGACGACGTGGAGGCCCCGTGAGGTACGCCAGTCGGTTACTCGTTATTGAGGTCCTGAATGAAATTGTGCAAGATTCACGTAGATAAAATAATATTATCTGCGTTTTCTGGCTTAGCGTTCAACTGCTGGTGGTACATGCGGAATTTTTTAGCCAAAATTCCAAA